CGTAGTTCAACGAACTTGGGATACAAGCACTAGTTTGATCGAGAATGTGCAAAAGGTTACACAAGGTCTAAATACCTGGAACAAAGAGGTTTTCGGGAACATTTTTAAGAGAAAGAGGGACTTGCTGGCCAGGATTGGAGGTATCCAACGGACCCAAGCTAAAAACCCGCACAGAGGTCTGGGAAAGTTGGAAGAGAAGCTACAAATCGAGCTCGAGGATACCTTGTATCAAGAAGAGCTTTTGTGGTTTCAAAGATCGAGAGAAGACTGGATAACGTCGGGGGATCGGAATACCGCATATTATCACGCGGCTGCTACAATTCGCAAGTCACGCACGAGGGTAACAGGGCTCCGAGATGACGACGGGAATTGGCTTTCCGAGGGGGTAGGACTCAGGGACCACGTCAGAAATTTCTTTGTTAATTTGTTCACAGGGTCCACAGTGGTCTCAGACTAGCCATCGGATGTACCGAGCTTTCCGAGACCCAGGCGTATAGACTGGACGGTGTTCAACAGAACACTAACAAAGGAAGAAGTACAACAAGCAGTTTTTGACATGAAGCCGTTCAAAGCCCCGGGCCCGGATGGCCTCCCAGCGGGTTTTTATCAACACATGTGGGACGTGACCGGAGATAGTATATTCAACTTAGTCAGACATGCAATTCACACCGGCGAACTCCCCGAAGGCCTAAATGACACTCTTGTTGCACTCATTCCGAAAGTCCGGGGGCCAGACACGATTAAACAATTTCGTCTTATTAGCTTGTGCAATGTGAGTTATAAAATTCTGACAAAAACGATTACTAACAGACTTAAATATATTCTTCCTCAGGTTATTGGACCGCACCAAAGCTCTTTTGTCCCAGGGAGGCAGATCTCGGATAATGTCATTGTGTATCAGGAAATTATGCACAGCATGAAGGAAGCACGCGGCAAAAAGGGATACATGGCCTTAAAGCTCGACCTGGAAAAAGCTTACGACAGACTTTCGTGGGACTTCATTAAGGATACGTTGCTGCACGCCGGCTTTAATGATATGTGGGTAAACATTATTATGACATGTGTTACTTCGTCCAGACTAGCAGTCATATGGAATGGAGAACGTCTAGATTACTTCAAGCCCGAAAGAGGAATAAGGCAAGGTGACGCCATGTCCCCAGCGATTTTCGTTCTCTGTATGGAAAGGCTTAGCCATTTAATTCTATCCCAGGTAACAGCCCGAAACTGGAAAGGTATCCAATTTGCTCCAGGGGGACCGATTTTGTCGCACCTGTGCTTCGCCGATGACATGGTCCTCTTTACCGAGGCTTCAGAAGATCAGGTGGACGTGGTACAGCAGTGCTTAGATTGCTTTTGCAGGGCTTCGGGGCAGAAGATAAGCCTCAACAAGTCACAAATTCATTTCTCCAAGAACACTCCACCCGGTTTGGCTGCTACCATTGCCGCGAAGTTGGGTATTGAAGAGACTAAGGACCTAGGGAGATACTTGGGTGTACCTTCTATCCATGGTCGGATTACTTGTAACACATATGCAAGTCTTTTGGAGCGAATTGCCAATAGGCTAGAAGGTTGGAAAGCCAAAACTCTGTCTTTAGCTGGGAGAGTTACGTTAACAAAATCGGTTCTGAATGCTATCCCAGTGTACACCATGCAGACGGTGGCACTCCCGAAAGGTGTTTGTGCAGAAATTGAAAAGAGGACTCGGCGTTTCATATGGGGCAAAAATGAACAGACAGGAGGGAACAAATTAAGCCTTGTAAACTGGGAGCTGGTCACCACGGGGAAAGCGAAGGGCGGGCTTGGCTTAAGGAAACTACATGAGATGAACAATGCATGTATGGCTAAGCTATGTTGGCGCTACCGGACGGAAGCTTCAGCACTGTGGGCAAGGACCCTGGCCTCCAAGTACAATCACAGGGTGGGAGCTACCATGGACGTCTTAAAGCCAGCGTAAAATCTCAAACGTGTGGCGTCGTATGTGCAATGCCAATGTGATATTGGAGAAGGGTGTAATGCATATCGTCCGGGATGGCGCTTCTACGCGGTTCTGGATGGACGTATGGCTATCTTCCGTTTCTTTGTACGAGAAGCTGCTTCGACCCTTGAGCCTCCCGGAGCTTTACGCATCCGTTGACGAGTACTGGGATTATTACAGGGGATGGAAATGGGAGAAGCTCGAGCCGTTTTTACCTCGGGAAGACTTGGAGGCTTTGGCTGCTTTTGGGCTTACGGAAGCGGGAAATCCTGACGAGTGGGGATGGAAATTAGACCCTCGTGGTCGCTTTTCTGTAAAGTCCGCCTATAGTCTGATAGACCCCTCACATGAAGGGGGCTCGGACAACATCTGGAGGGTCATTTGGACCTTAAGGGTGCCAGTTAGAATCTCCATGTTTATTTGGCTAGTGAGACATGGGAAGATTTTGACAAATTTCGAACGTGTGAGACGTCATATAGCTACTTCTGACGTTTGTTTTCTTTGCGCAGGTAAAAGGGAGGACCTAAATCACCTTTTCAGGGAATGTAAAGCGGCCAGGCCCATCTGGGAAGACTCGTTGCATTGGCGTTTAAGAGAGAAGCTGCGGACCATGGACTGGACAGAATGGTTTACGGCTAATCTTAGGGGAGACGCGAAGGAGGGGTTTGCAGATGATTGGCCCGAGATTTTTTGCATAAGACTTTGGTGTTTATGGAAATGGCGGAATGAGGAGGTCTTCAACGAAATGAGCACGCCGATTGATCAGAGGCTAGCTTGGCTGCGCAAATATGATAAGGAGGTGCTGGGGGCTTTCAAAGCGAAAAAAATGGCAAGACGTGGGCAACACATCTACGTGGACACCCGCATTTCTTGGACTAAGCCGCCACCAGGATGGCTCAAGCTTAATGTGGACGGCAGCTATAGGAGTAATGGTTCAGCTAGCTATGGAGGAGTGCTGTGAGACGAACATGGGGACTGGTGTAAAGGATTTGCATACAACATTGGAAGATGCTCGGCGGAAGCTGCAGAGGCGTGGGGTGTGCTACAAGGGCTACGGATGGCGAAGGACTTCGGAGCCTCGAGGATTATCGTTGAGTGTGATTCCAAGACTACGGTGGAAAGTTTGTGTGAGAAAGAAGGATGGAGAAGCCAATGCCATAACATTGGCAGGCTCTGCATTCGAGAAGCTCTGGGCCTGATGGAAGTGCGATACACTCATGTGTTTAGAGAACAGAACCGGGTAGCAGATAAGCTTGCGACTATGGACGAAGGGGGTGGTTTTGGTTTACGTTATTATAACTCACCTCCGCATGCGATCTTTGAGTTGTTATCTTTGGACAAAGTTGGCGCGTCCTCCTCCCGTAGAGTTCACAGGGCTTCTTACGCCCAAAGGGTGTTGTAATCTTTGTCTTTTCCGGGTAACCCCCTCAGTTCCGATATAAAAAAAAAAAAAAAAAAATATATATATATATATATATATATATATATATATATATATATAGTAGACTAGTAGATAGATATATAAAATAGCGTTGCCATCTCTCTTTTTTTTTTTTCTTTTTGAAAGCGTTGCCATTTCTATTCATATAGATATGTATTTTACTATTGTTGAAATATAATTTTACCATATCTGATTTAAGCATATTGAGAAAGAAAAAAATTCCATGTCACAAAATATTCAACTAATCAAATTTAACAATTCATTCATTTTTAAATATATCGAAAAATGACAATGATCTTGTGATCTAGTGACACGAGTGCAATCGTTATGATGTGGAACCGTGTCAATCTTGCAAGGTGAACACGATTCTATGTTCATAATTACTGAACTATATGTTCATAATTATAAAGTTATATATTCATAATTTTTGAACTCTATATTCACAATTACAGAACTCTGTGTTCATAATTACTGAACTATATGTTCATAATTATAAAGCTATATATTCATAATTTTTGAACTTCATATTCACAATTACTGAATCTTTATATTCATAATTACAGAACTATATGTTCATAATTATGTTCACAACTGTATGTTCATAATTATAGAACTATATGTTCATAATGTTTAAACTATATATTCATAATTATGAACAGTTTTGGAACCGTGTCCACCTTACAAGGTGGACACGATTCCACAACATAATTTACCCACGAAGTGTCCCTTCTAATTGGGAGGTCATGTGTTCGAGTCCAATTTTACATTATAACAGAGTCAGTAGTACTAAAAATATATATACAGTAACAATGATATAAAGATGCAGGTCAGTACACTGGTTAATCCACAAACCAATGATTGGGATTTAACCAGATTGAATGCTTTGTTTGAGCAGCGTGATATTGAGTTAATTTTGCAGATTCCTATCTCACCAAATTTTGAAGACCAATGGTATTGGAGAGGGGATTTAAGAGGCCAATATTCTGTTAAACACGGTTACCATATTCTGTTGCAGTGGAACGAGCTCAATGCTGTCGTGACAGAAACTCTTTCTGCTCCCTCTCTAGCGGTTAGTCCATCTCAGCTCGTTATGGGGCGATTCACTTTGTATGTAGATGGCGGTTTTCAATAGTGTTGAGGCTTTTTTTTTTTTTGGCATTGTGGTGTTAGATGACGAAGGTAATTTTGTAGATACTAAAAATGGTTCTTTACGCTGCCTTCGTGATGCACATCTTGCAGAAGTAATGGCTATTAAAGAGGCGTTATCCTGAGCTAAGGATAATAATTATTTAAGGATAAGGGTTCTCTCTGATTGTTAGATGGTGTGCAACCTTTTCAATGGAGCTTCTGAAGATTTATCTTATGCGGGTTGTGTTATTCGTGAGTGCAAGAGTTATCGAAGACACTTTGAGGTAGTGTCCCTTGGTTATGTATCTAGATCAGTGAACAAGTTAGCTCATGTTGTTGCAAGGGCTGTTCGTACTCAAACTGGTCCTTTTGTTTGGAGTTCTTCTATTCCTCTGTATTATTGATTTGATTTAATAAAAGGGAAAATTGCACTTTTGGTCCCTTAATTGTTTTCAGATATGCAATGTAGTCCCTCATTGTCAATTTTGATAAATTGATCCCTCAAATGTTTCAATTGTAGCCAATATAGTCCTGAGGTTAAATTTGTCACTAACTAGTGTTAAAATCATGGACAATTTAGTAATTTCACAATAGCTTTGGTTACACCCATTTACCCCCAATTGACCAAACGCCTTTCGTCCTCAGCCTCCTCTCTTAGACGAACAGCAGCCAAGCCACCCATCAACGACAGCCAACAACGAAACATTCTTCCAGATTCTCACCTTTACGGTTCTTTTCGGCACGAGCAGACATCTCCGATGAAGAACAGAGCAGCGACCTCTCTCTCTATCACTTCCTGTCGCGGCAGCAATCTTGGAGGAGCTCCGACGAAGCAACGGAGACGTCTGCCAGCAGCTCCGACGATTCTTTCTTCCAGGCAACGAGATTCCTTCAAGCGATCTTGGCAACGATCTTCCTCCTTCCCATACAGATCAATGATGGAAGTTAGGTTCCAAAGTTCATCTGAAATCAAACTAGTAACGTCTAACGCGTAAACTTTCCTGCGAAGAAAAAACACACATTCATCTACATTGAACTTCATAAATACCAAAAAAAGAGAGCATACAATTGATGAATTCCAGAGAAAAAAGTGGAGAAGATGGTAGATTACAGGGCAGTGATGTGCAAGGGGTGGAAGAGCAATTGCATTTAATCCCCGGATCGTAAGCGGTGTGAGCAACGAGTCTCCCCTGTTTCCAGCGATCTTCCTTCTTCCCTCTGGCGTTTGACTCCTCTCCCGTTGAAACTTGGTGGCAACGCATGGTGGTTGGCGGTGCTCGCTTGGCAGCGGCATGAGTTGGACGGTGAAAGGAGGTGAGATGCTGTTATTATTATGAGGATTATTACGTGATTAATGAAGTCATGCCACCGCTGATCTCTCATTGAACATTTTGGCTATTCGCATTCCACAGCGTTGTTGGAGCCATTTGGACTTCCTTTGTTGCCTTTGGACTGTCAGATTTATTTTTGGAACATTTTCAAAATTTGCAGATTCTGGTGACCGGCCGGCTGCTTGACCGCCGCTGATCGCCTGCGACCACGGCGGCACTGCCGTCACCATGGATTCCAGTGAGTGACAAATCTGAAAAGCTAACGCAGAAGGAAGGAGAAAATTGAAGGTAAAACTTAGTGAGTTTTGAAATTACTAAATTGTCCATGGTTTTAACACTAGTTAGTGACAAATTTGACCGCAGGACTACATTGGCTACAATTGAAATATTTGAGGGACCAATTTAGCAAAATTGACAATGAGGGACAACATTGCATATCTGAAAACAATTGAGGGACCAAAAATGCGAATTTCCCTTAATAAAATTCTGAGTTACTTTACAAAAAAAAAAAATATAGAAAAATATCCATAACCTATATTAATATTAAATGAGGAGAGACTCAGATGACATGTATTGACTTCTCCCATATAGGAGGTCATGAGATCGAGCCTCAATGGAGACATTGTTGACTCTTTGTGTTTCATTAGGTTGAAAAATGATGTTTGAACCAATACTACAATGTAATAGAGTCATAGCTTTCAAAAAATGAGGAAAGAGGAATGTTTCAAAAAAATAAGAGAGAGAAAAACATTTCAGCCAATGAATATTTTGTTCTCTTTGAAAATCAATAAAGTTTTTAAATTTTTTAAATTTGAATTTAACGATTTCATTGATTTTCAAAGAGAAAATATTTATTCATAAAATAATATTAAATGAATTGAGCAAAAAATATTTTCACGAATAAATACTTTCCTTTTCTTTTTTAAAAATGAATAAATTAATTTTTATTTTTAGAACTGGAATAAATTAATTTTTTTTTTTTTTTTTTTTTTTGGTAGAGAAGAACTGGAATAAATTAAATTTGATTGGTATTTCAAGCATATACAATCTTATCAGGCAGCTATCAGTACATCGGTATATCCGTATATGTAGGACATTTTTGGGGCATTATTAGAATTTTCATGAATTACAGGGTTACATTTATAATTAATCAATTTAGAAGATATCCGCCGCAATGCATCTTCCCTTCTGCATCTCATCCCTGAAACCCTAGCCCAAATCCTTATATAATCTCACTGCATTCTGCATTTCTCTATATCTTATCGCCGCTCCGATCTTCCTTCTCCAATCCGAGTGTGTATATATGTATAGACTATAGACGCACTTATACGTTTATGTAGTTTGGTTAGGGACGAAAATGTTTGATGATTTTATGAGTTTGTTGGTGAGAAATCGCTGTGATGACTCTGTAAAAGTTCAAGCTCAACAGACCGGATCGTCAGGGGTTTCTCTACTTTGAGAGCCTTTGCATGTCGAGTCTACTTCTATCCTGAGCGATCTGCGATTTGAAAATCGAAAGTTTTTTTAATTAGTTTTTGTTGTTTCAGTTGGATGTTTATGGAGGAATTAGTGATTGCTATGAGGATTCCAAGCTCCCTCTTCTGAGTAAAGTTGAGGAAATTTGCTGGCAGAATCGAACCATAAAAAATCTAGCCACTACTGAGCAATCTCTCTCTTCTTCCTAGATTTCCTTTATTGTTTGGTGTTTATGAATTTGTCTTTGGATCCTTTTTGTCGTTAATTCTCCACTTCTGTGTCTAGTTTTAAGCGTAGATGCAATAATTATTCAATATGATGTTGTGATTTTGATGTCATTTTTGCTTAGGAATTATTGATTGCTATGAGGATTTCTAAGCTCCCTCTTCCGAGTAAAGCTGAGGAAATTTGCTGGCAGAATCGAACCACTTACAATCTAGCCATTACTGAGCAATCTCTTTTTTTGATAAGATTTCAGATCTTTGTAGTTTTCTTCTATATTCCTTACTGTCGCGTCTTGTTCTAAGCATAGTTGCATGATTTTGATGTTATTTTTGTGAAATTGTTGAATATTGTAGTGTTCTTGATCAATTTGTGCTGAGATAGTGTAAGGTTTTCAAAGATTTATTTTTGATGTTAGTACAATACTTAATTCAGATCACGATGAAGACTCCATAATATTCAAGCTCAACAGACCGGAATGCAGGCTCCTCCTTCAACTGGAGGAGCATGCGTGTCGATTACCCCGCTGAACTGAGTGATCTGCAAATTTTAATCAATGCAATTGTGTCTTTCTTGTGTACCTTTGAATGTAATTGTTTTTCTAATGGAGATTACCAAGCTCCCTCTTTTATGTTCATGTGTTTTTGGTGTTTTGTTATGAATTTTGAGTGTGATAATGATAATGATGAAGCTATTTTTGCATTCCAACACTTGGACTGAGAGATTAAATCTCAATGAATGCAAAACATTTTGCATCTGAATCTTTCTCAGTGATTTAATTGTGTTCTATTTGAAGATTGTATGAATTGCCATTGCATTTTCTATGTAGTATTTCTGTATTGAAGATTTGAAGCCATCAGAATCAAGTGATGACACTCCAATTAATCTTAGGACACCATTGGACACAACTTATGGGTTGTGGTTGAGAATAAAATTTTTCTGATGATGATGATGGTTTAATCTTTTATTTCATATTCATTTCATTTCAAAATCAGTTCATTGTAACTTAACCTTAATTGTTTGTTCACTAAAAGACCATGTAATTTTGAATATGTCTGATCAACCATGTTTGCATTGTTTAATGCATATTTAGTTGTTAATCTTTCCTACAGTGTTTTTTTAGTGAAGATGGAAACTTGGAACCCTGGTAGTTGTGATTTGTGACTTTAGCTGGTTAAGGAATGAGGAGTTATGAATTGGCTCAAATCAAGAATGCTGGTTGCTCCTACGGGAAGTTGAAGTGAAGACATAATTTAAAAATAAAATAATTTTTGTACTGTGAAAGGGATCCAAGAGACTCCAATATAATGTTAACTTTGTAGGGGTGAATGATTTTTAAAATTAATTTTGAGTTTCTTTTTCTTTTGTAATTATTGAATTTTATATAAAAATTGTTTACAATATTATTTGACAAAAATTAGTACGGAGTATTTCTTTTCTGCTATATTTTTTTTAAATATAACAATTTAGAATTTGTCACTTTAATAAATTGTAAAATGTAATATGACTTAAATTTGAAACTTTTTATTTACTTTAATTGATCGATGTTTTAATATTAAGAATCTGTTTTCATGTTATGTATGTTAATATTATGAATTTAACTGATATATGTATATATATTTTTATATTATAAAATAGTCATAACTAAAATGTAAAATTGAATTTTATTAAGCTATATATTTGGTTATACAATCTTGTGTAAAAGAAAATTCAAATTCGAGCTTAAAAATTTAGGGAGCCATGCAGCTTCAAATCCAACATGAGTCCATACTCTGGAACATCTTTAATAAATGATAAGAATATTCTTTTTCCTTTTTTCCCTTTCTTTTTTATTTTGATGAGACCACATGGCCTGTTTCCCCATTTTATTGAGTCTAAACGGAGATGTTTTAGTATAGTTTTGACCCAAGTTAAGGTGTTGAAGGAACCCAAATCTTGTTGGGCAAGGAAGAGAAGGGGTAAAACCGCCGGCAGCTGCCAGGCCATTGACCACTCAGAATTCCCACGGTGGGGCGGGAGTGGTTTGGGTCATGTAGGACTGGCGGACCAGGTTAAGGCAGCAACGCACCACACCATGGTCAAGGATTAAACCAAAGACCTCTAGCATGACAGAGTGTCCAAACCCACCAAGCCACGCTATCATTTATGTGCTAGGGCGTTATTGTTATGACTTTCATGAGTTGGCAGAATTACAAACTTGCCATGACCGACCGCCGGCCACCTCCTACCATGGTGCCCCCAACGGGCTTGGTGCGTTCCCATCGGAAGGGTTGCGCAGTATTGAGGGTGTACATGTTTGTGGCTAGGGTGGTGAAGACTTAACTGATGCATACGTAAGGATGGCATGGACACGTGGGTGGTGGTCATGAAGGGTCCGTCTACTTGGCAAGACATGGGGAGCTTTTGAACACTATAAAAAGAGGTGCCTTGCCTACTTTAAGACATCACGGTCTTATCAATATAAGCGCCCTGGTCCTGTGGTTTCTAGAATGGTTGATTTCCATTAGCTACACTATTGTCTTAGTATTTTCTAGCCCGTTCTTTGAAGCAACAACGGTTATTATTTATTTATTATTTGAACCGCCATTTTGGGCTTAGCGTCCAAATAATAATACTACTATTTTTCTACCCATGTTCTATACATCTATATCCAATTTATGGTGTCTGGTCTTGACAAACCCATAAAGAAAAATCTTGTTTATATAATAATAATAATAAAATAATATAAAATATAAAATGAATAAAAGACTAAATGAAGCTCAAACTAAAATCTTGTTTATATATATGAAACATATATACCAGTTACTGATAATGGGTATTGTCTACAACATAAATTTCCCACTTTATTTCTGACCATAGTTCAGAGATACTAAGTTGCAAAATATAGAAACAGAAATATATAATTGGCTTGCGATGATGAGTAGATAACAGATCTCATCCATAGCAACGGATAGGATCATTGCATCCTTTCTCAGCAGATTGCTTGGAACCAAACCTTCCTCCCTTTGCAAGGTACTGCTGGTGATACTCTTCTGCTCTGTAGAATTTCTTAGCAGGCAGTATCTCAGTCACAATCTGCCTGTTGAGAAGCTTCTGCTGTTTCTCCTTGGATTCAATCGCCTCCTTCTCTTGCTCGGGCGTGTAGAAGTAAATCCCAGATCTGTACTGCGTTCCCACATCGTTCCCCTACAAAACAGCACGACTGAACTGTTAAACGCCCCGAAGAACAGAATACAAAACCTGACAC